AATGTGACCCTGTGCTGGGAGCAAAGTGCTGAAGCTGCAGGGAACAGAAAGGGCCTTGAGGCTGTGGGTTTAGGAAGCTGGGTTTGTCTTGGCTCACACTTCAAGCTCTGATTCTGCTGCTAGTTTAAGTCCTCATGCCTGCAAGCGCAGCTGCATGCAAATGTACTAGTGCAGCACAGCTGCAGCTGACATGCCTGTTCAGCCATGGGTGTGCTTTGCAGGGCTTCCCTGAAAGCAGGTGGGTTGTGGGGTGATGGCCCACAGGGTGGCAAAGTGAGCAGCAGAGTAAAACCAGCTTCTCTGCTGCTGTCTCCTGATGCCCTCTGGCAGCTTCCCCCAGTTGAGAGCAGGTCCCTGTCCTTGCAGGAAAACAAGTTGAGGGAGAAACGTAGTGGCTGTCTTATCTTGGGCATTTCTCACTGCAGAAACTTCTGACAGGCTGCTTACTTGAGGAGTCATTGAAATCCTGTTTGTCACCAAGGGTATGCTCCTGTCCCCAACTCATGGAACATAAATCTCATGAGAATGAGGTTGCTGCTGAGCAGATAAGCTGTGGGGTGGTGCTGCTGACTTCCCCTTATCTCCAAAGAGCTCTTTCATTTGTGCGCATGCTTGTCCGTGTTCTTGGCAGCCAGGGACATCCCAATGGCTGTGCACTGGCCCAGCAAAGTATTATAACGTCTTTCTGGTCTCTGCTCTGTGATCCATTTCTAGCTGTTAGAGGCCGGTGGGATTTGCAGAGCTGTGCATCCAAAGGGTCTCTCCTTGGAGACATGTCAGGCCAGCTGGAGGCCGTCCCAGGGCTATTCCCCCATCATGCTACCAAACATGCCAACTGCACCTTCATCACCTCATCCCAGCCCCTCTGCTTCGTAAGAACAGCTCTTGAAATGGCTGCTAGTATTTAATTATGTCTGAATATTAAATGGAATTATATCATGTAGGTAAAACCCAGTGTACAGCCAGGGTCACAAACCTGTGGTGAGGAACTTGAGGCTCAGCTGCCTGCCAAGGAGGACTGGGCAAATGCTGCTTCTAGGCTCATTGGCCTATGCTGCAGAGGAACCACCTAGAATTTCTTATATTAGCACTGAAAGTTGTATTTGCTGCTTTTTCAGTCTGGATTTGGCAGTGCAGAATCAGTGCTGCAGAAACACAGCTGGTTGCTCTTCCAGGCTTCAACCCAGCTCCCCTTGGCAGCCTCAGCTGTGAAAGGCCTGGGCTGACCTAGGACCACCTGTGTGTGCCAGCTTATTTTTTGGTGTTTTGGAGGTTGTTATGGGTGACACTGGTAGGGAAGAGAAGGAATCAGGTTGGTTTCAGGAGAATTTTATGGAAAACTGTGTGAAATGTCTTTGTTGAAAAAAACCTCATGGGTGGTTTACCCTCCCAAGTGATAGTCTATTAAAATCTCACAATTCACGAACTGGAGTTTGTGAATTTATTTGCTGCCTAACATCCAAGCCTGTCGTGGTCACAATTTTTAACTGTAAGAAATAACCTCTCTTCAAAGCTGAGTCTCTTTTCAACCCCAGATTC